GCTTTAAGGCAGTCTTGCGTCGCCTGTGGAAGGAGTGGATGGTGGATGGAGAGCACAGCTTCAGGCAACTGGGAGGATGCGCCATGCAACTTTCCAGCAAGTCATTGGATGGATCGACACAGCATGGACTTCAGTGACAACCGAAACCATGTGTTTAACTTGCATTTCCTGATTGAATGTCTGTTCTTGGCCTTGGATACTGTAAAATAAATTTCTAAATAAGGTAGCCTCCTGAGGATTTGCTCTGCTGCCGGCGTTTGCCTAGACATCGCCCAAAATGCTTGATTAGATTGCATTCTCCACATTTTTAGCTAAATTTTCATGTACCACATCAGCATTTTTGTTCAGTGAATCTTTTGTAAATTGGCTGCCTTCATATCACCCAGCTCACCTCATTTCAGGCCTTCGTCTTCATTAACATTCCCGGTAGAATTCTCAATCTTCTTGGCCTCTGTGTCCAGTTACATAGTCTCTGTCTGTTCTTGGTCATGGATTTTGTGAAATACATTTCTAAATAAATGCGACTTATAGTCCGGTGCAACTTATATATGTTTTTTTTCCTCTTCATGAGGCATTTTGTGACTGATGCGACTTATACTCCGGAAAATACGGTATGCATAATTTATGAATTGTCATTTGTAATTAAACTCTGCCATGTACCAGTTGTACATGGTTGCAGTTACAGCATATCATAGGATATGGTGTTGAGCTGCAATATGAGAAAATAAAAGAAGAAATTATCCCACCACACTGATGGTTACATATGATAACCCCAGTTCCTAGTTCAACCCCATCGATTAAAAGGTGTTATCTCTCTAACAGGGTCCTATTGGTTTCCAGTAAGTTGATGTGGCAACTCTCCTCTGGAGTCTAAACTTCTCCTGCGGAGCTCATTGAGAAAGTTAATCAGTCAGGGCATGAATAGAGACAATTAGCTTCCTCCTTGGTAGTTTTCCTTCCACCAGCACATTGAAAGGCTCCAACGGCAGACCGCATTCCTCCTTCCTCCTGACTAGTGGTGGAATCATACCACCACAATGTGTGCTCTGACAAAAGTGAGAACAAAAGTGTGTGTGTGTGGTACAATCTTTCTGGAAGTAGGACTGAGCCGTATGACCAAAATTTCATATCTAGACAATGATACACATTATCTGTAAATTCAAGTTATAGCGTATATAAAATGAAAGACCAATTTTTCAATCACATTTCGAATTGAAAAAAAATAAAAAGCTACCTATTCATATTTTATTCATATTTTTCTCCTTTCATTTACAATCTGTGTGTAAATGTTCTACTGTTGTAGGTTGGGCAGAGATCAAAGCTCTACAGAGTATGAAGGCAACAAGTCTTTATGGATCCCCGTAGGGAAGTTCATTCTCTGCATTTGACCCATCCTAGTTATTAGGAACAGTGAAGAGCCACCATACAGCATCCGGTGGCACCAACTCCAGATCTGAGCCAGTACCTTGGTCAAGGGCAGTGCCTGGAAAATTAACCTGACAGATGTTTGGACGGTGCGGGAAACCGGAGCACCCGGAGGAAGCCCACGCAAAAAGCCCCTGCCCGCCAACTTTCTGTGTTCTTACCATTCGCATAATATGAAACAATAAATGTTTTTATTGCCACATGATCAGTATTGGGAGTAACGGCATTTAAGTATAATGGCGTTATTTTTTCAGTAACGTAGTTATCTTATTACTTTTCCCATCGTTGCAACGCCGTTATCGTTACTGAGAATGTAAAGTGGCGCGTTACTTGCGTTACTACAATTTGGTTGAATGAAGCGCAGCGGTGTCAGGCTTTCTGACAGCCACACATCAGCTGCCGGGAGAGAGCAGGGGTGGTGAGGACACCATTGCAAATGCGATGATGATTGGCTGGGTGGGCGGATGCCCTGCTCACGCTGTCTCGCTGCACACTAACTACTACTATAAACATGAGAGAGACAATGGTGATGAGCCGGGGAAATTCAAAGGTAGCGTTTTCAAACTGGAAGTACCGACACTACTTCTCGCTTACTGAAGTTAAAGGCAAGAATGTTTATGTAACGTGTGAATTTTATTTTCAATATTTATTTTTTATGTATTTTTATTTCTATGCATATGGCCGGCTGCAATCTATTGAGTTCAAATAAATACCAAATGTTCTAAAATACTGTATATAGTGTTTTTATTCTTCATTCAGATATTATAAACATATTTGACGTTATAGAAGATGTTATAGAATGTAATAGCGTTATAGAACATAAAAATAACGTCAGTTACTTTGCTGAGTAACTAATTACTTTTACATTGTGGTAACTGAGTTACTGAATTACTTTTTGGGAGAAGTAATTTCTAAATATAACTAATTACTTTTTTAAAGTAAGATGCCCAACACTGCACATGATATATATCTTCTTACCACACAGCCCTAGATGGAAAAGTTAACCCTTAACACCCCTTTTTTTAAAATTAAAAATTTTCTTTTTCCTTTTAAAAAAAACTGTATTTTTATCTTATGTTTTCACATTTAAAATTTTTTTTTTTAATTTTTTTTTTTTAAATTTTTTTTTTTAATAAAAAAAAAAAATTTTTTTAAAATTTTTTTAAAAAAAAAAAAAAAAAAAAAAAAAAAAAAAAAAAAAAAAAAAAAAAAAAAAAAAAAAAAAAAAAAAAAAAAAAAAAAAAAAAAAAAAAAAAAAAAAAAAAAAAAAAAAAAATTAAAGGAGTCATACCCTATTTCAACAAGTTAACCTAGTTCCCTGGTGTCCTAATGTAATGTCTGTGACATGCTTTGGTCAAAATATCATAAGGATGAAGCACAATAGCAGTTCAATCACCCTGCAAAAACAGCCCTGTTCAGAGCGCTCGGTTTTGAGGGCTTGTCTCTTTAAATGCAAATAAGACACAGGCAATCCACCCACTTCTTCCGGGAGGTGTGCCAATGTCGGCAAGCTCACGCTACCATGACAACAGTTGAACGTGAACCCTGGGAGAAAGATAGCAGCTGGAAGAAACTTTTCGGTCCAACCATATATATTTGAACCAGAGTCAGACCCTGAAGAAGTATGTGTATGTTTCTACGTTGGGTAAATACAGTCGCTGACTAAATATGGTCGACCGCTGTTTTTTAACTCACTGCTTATAAAAATCTAGATTTCGGTTAATTGAGTAAACATAAGTATGTTAGCATGCTATTCCCGTTACACGAGTACATTTCACAAGTCCGCAATACTAGCTACGAGTGGGAATATAGCACTCGTTTTCTTTTATTCTCAGCTCCGCCGTAATAACGTTACATCATTATTCTGTCAGACATCAAACGTTAATGTACTATCCACAGCCACACTGTAGCCACTTCTCACGCATGTGCTAATTTTACAACCTAGGTGTGAAACGAGGGATGTAGTGGGGGTTGGGGTGACTGTCTGCCAGCGCCGTATACCCCATAGTAATTCCTGGTCACCCGTATTTACTGTGTTTCAACATAATGCAATAATTCCAATTAATAACGTCACATCGTTGCATAAGCTGACCTATCGTTATAGCTAACAACATATTCAAATAAAAAACTATAACCAATATCTTTTCCCTTTTTTTTGCCTCTGGATTAGGTGTACTTGTGAAAATTGCACAACAATGCCTACAGAGCCAGAGAATGTCTGCTGCAGGGAGATACGACAGGTACAACATGGATGCTTGTTGAATGAAAATGTAACTATTCAGTCATTATCTGTCATCAAACGTCACTTACCCTTTCAAATTTACAGGTTATAAGAAGACTAAATCAGTTTCAAAACCCATCTTCCTGCATGGTAGACCACCCTGGCCTTGAACCAGTGTGTTTAAATGCATTCTCACTGCAGAAGGAACTAAATATCTACAGAGCACACTATGGGCGTTTATGTCTGAGGGGAATAGAACAGTATGTTTTTTTTGCATATAAATTCTGTGTAATTGTAATAAAAATATTCCAAAAACAATTCCATTTTCCCCTTTGTTACATTGCTTACTTTTCTTGTAAGGCAGTTTGATAATTGTTAAAATGTTACATATCAAACACTAGAAAAGATTAATTTCTGCACAAAATCTAACCTGCAATAATATAATTTATTAGCAACATTTAAACCTAGGTCCAACACCAACTTGCTGCTAATAAATGGTGGTATTGGCATTTCGATATTGTGCAGGAATTTATCTTTCGTACTTTTGGATACTCATCCCACTCCTAAGAACCTGTCTCTTGCTGACCATAATGTTTATGTCTACATATCAAACACTGAAAGTACAAAAAACAGCTTATATTAGTTTTATTTTTATAAATACAAGTACAGCAAACAACATACAACTGTTCAAAAAATAGGTAATACAAATATTTACAAAAAAAATGTGGGTAATCATAAATTATGTCTAAATATAAATGTATAACTAAATATATCTTCTCTGTTCAGCCGTTACAGGTACTTGGCCTATAGGAGCTTTGTGAGCTGATGGGGCTTTCTGGGCCGAAGAATTCGTGTGGTACTGCCCAGCTGTGTGGTGCTGCGTATACGGGCGGAGTTCCCCGACGCTCAAGGCATCTACGTGAGGTTCAGACCGGCCCTTGACTGAACCTTGTCACATAGTGGTCTATCACCTCCTTCTTGTCCAGCCTTTTGAACTGCGCAGAGAGATCCTCAGGAATGGAGATCTTCAAAACCTCATCTGTGTATGGACCAGGGTCTGGAAAAACCATCTCAAACACCAGGTCCAAGATTTCATCCACGTAATCTGCAATAAAAAAAATATTTTAAAAATATTGTGTTTACTTTATAGTGTTTATTTATTTATTAAAAACATAGAAAAAGCCATAGACACTGGTTAATTTATATTTTATTTATTTTACAAATATTTTATAATGGCTGTTTCATTTTGCAGTGCGATTTTCAATAAAAAGGTTTAAAACTTATGGAAGGTTGGTTGCTCCTTCACTGGCTTTGCTGTGCATTCTCCTTTCTTCCACTTTGGAAAATGAAGCCTGAACCAGCTGAGGTTGTTGCCTGTGGACGGTCTGCATTTTCATTGAAGTGCAGGGCTGCCAGGTATAGTCTTGGGAGGAAAAATAATGAAATGCTAAATAAGATTGAGAGCACATTGTACACATTCCAAAAAATATTCAGAAAATGGTGGTTCATTTTCAAATAAATAGTTTTTTTTTATAACAACTTGAAGAATGCGGGACTCAAATCTCCACCTTTTTGTAATTGGTCAACATTAGAGTGCAATGCAAGTGTCAATGGTTTTTTTTATAAATTTATGACTTACACATATTTAGCTCCATACTTGGCTTATTTTGGTGTGGCTGTATGTGCATACGAATAATTGTAATGATAAAAAAAAGCCCCTCTTTACTTGCACAGCATTCCAAGAAAAGGAAAGACTACATTCTTAGGTGCAAAGCGTAGAATGACGCTGTGAAAAGACTCCAGCGATGAGGTTTGGTAATGAGGGCTAAGCTTCCCCACATCTTTGAGGACCCTCTTGGTGGTCAGCACTTTCTCCAGTCTGCAGAAGGCAGGTGTTCCTGTGAAAAAGAAGAAAGTGTTTAATAATGTCATTAAGTAGACCAACACTGCCTAAACATGATAATGTGTACACACGATAATGTGTACACACCTGTTGTCAGCCACTTGGTCTTGTCCCTTGAAGTGCGGGTTGGATGCAAACACTGGGGGAAAACAGGATCTTCATGGGTGTGGATGTCCCGAGGTGGTTCAGAATGGACATCCACTTTGCTGTTCTCTCTGGCACCGATGTAGAGGAAGCAGCCGTCCAGTAGATGTGGTTTTTTATACTGTGAAGCCACTTCTTTAGTTTCTCACACTCCTTGTTCTGTGAGATCTTCAACAGTTTCTTGGACAGTCCTAATGATACAGAAAGCTTTAGAGTCTTTCACACATATAGAGTGTATATTAATTATATAGTAAACCACCATATTACTTTGAATTAACATAGCAGAAATTATATACCGTATTTTCCGGACTATAAGTCACTCCGGAGTATAAGTCGCATCAGTCAAAAAATGCCTCATGAAGAGGAAAAAAACATATATAAGTCGCACTGGACTATAAGTCGCATTTATTTAGAAATGTATTTCACAAAATCCATGACCAAGACGATGTCTAGGCAAACGCCGGCAGCAGAGCAAATACTCGGGAAGCTACCTTATTTAGAAATTTTTTTACAGCATCCAAGACCAAGAACAGACATTTAATCAGGAAATGCAAGTTAAACACATGTTTTGGTTGTCACTGAAGTCCATGCTGTGTCGATCCATCCAATGACTTGCTGGAAAGTTGCATGGCGCATCCTCCCGGTTGCCGTGAAGCTGTGCTCTCCATCCACCATCCACTCCTTCCACAGGCGACGCAAGACTGCCTTAAAGCTCCGGTTCACTGAGATGTCGAGTGGCTGGAGTACTGTGGTCAAGCCTTAAAACATGTTAAATTTCTTATATAAGTCGCACCTGACTATAAGTCGCAGGACCAGCCAAACTATGAAAAAACGTATAGTCCGGAAAATACGGTAGCTTACAGTCTAAATTGAATTAATAATAGGCTGGAACACATCAATAACTATGTCAGTGTAACAATAAAGGAACTACAGTTATCATAAACTTTTTTTCCCTCTCATGTTGACAAATAAGACACGGAATAATACCTTTTTCCATGTGCCACACATCGTAGTAAGGCATGACATTGGCCTCCCTCAGGAACTTCTGGATTTGGGGGTGACAGTCCATCACAATACTACAGAAGCAAGGCTCCTCTTCAGGCCCTCTTTCTCCATGTGATAGCTTCCACCAACCTCATTACTCTATTATTTAAGAAAGCAGATAAAAATGTATTATTTCATCTGATAAGAGCTAGACTGTAACAGATTACAACAGATTATTTATGGTCTGTCACTCACTTGAACCAGCTGTAAATCAATAACAGTGTTACTCCTCATGTCCATCATTGTGTAGCTGCCAAACTTGGCACAATGTCCTTCAAAAGTAAAGTAATTATTTTTAATATATACATTACATAGTATTTATCAGTGTGTTTTATTTATTTTCAAGTAAATTTGTTTATATATAAAAAAGATTATTATGACAGAGTATTACATACCTGGTGAGTCTGCTCTCAAGTCACCACCGAGGACGACATTCTGGTGCTGACTGAGCTGCTCCAACATTGCAGTCTGTGCCATCTTCCACCTGTGTACAATCGCGGGCTCTATGTACATCCGAGCATGCCTTCGAAATGAGTCATACTGAAACATCTTCGACTGCATTGCCCGGAAGATCTGTGGGAGAAAGAAACAGACAGGACAGGCACCCACATGTTAATCACTTTTTCAGAAATACACATTGTGTATATAAATTTAGCTACATCATATGCTATATTCCATTACTTTATTCATAGTTTAGTCTAAATATAATACTAGGGATGGGGCCGTATTACATAATTCACGTATCGGAATTTCCAGATCCAACCTGCGCAGATTTCCGATATATATGAGCCATATCTGCGCTTTAACGTTGTCTGCTGAAATGACTCCACAGGTGATTCCTGCCGGCCAGTCTGCTAGCTGGCTGCAAACTGTGGAATGGATTTCCTGAACAGAGGTGCTGCTCAATGAGACACAGAGTTAAGAGACACGCCCCCGCTCAGGAAATCCATTCCGCAGTTTGCAGCCAGCTAGCAGGATAGCATTGAGCAGCATTGTGGCTAGCCAACATGTCCGCTGTGTGGAAATACTTTACACTGGAAACACTGCAGAGCAAGACAGCAAAATGCAATGTTTGCAAAGCCGTAATTCAGAGACGCGGAAGCTCCCTCGCGTCGTACAACACTACGAACACAATCAAACACTTAAAAAAGCACCACGCGAAAGAGCACAAGGATTTTTTAGGCGAGCTGTCAGGAATCACTTCTGGAGTCATTCCAATAACAAGGTAAACTCCAGGCAGACAACGTTAAAGCTAAAGGGATTACCGAGTGTGTGTGTGTGTGTGTGTGCGTGCGTGCGAGAGATGTTTGCAGTTATTGCACTTTTCTTATATTTCAGATAATTGACATTTTAAATACTTGATTTATTGATACTACAAGAGCCAGTGTACTTGATTTGTGCTGTTCAGATGCACACTGTTTTATTGATAGTGAACAGGATTTCCTGTTTTTCTGACTTCCTTTTCTGACCTTATACTTACCTCAAGTTGCCTTTGGGGACATACATGCATACATACGTACATATCATACTTGCCTGTTGAGAGGAGTTTATTTCAGCCTCATATAAAATCAACAATAATGATAATAATAATATTAAAGCAAACACAGCTCTGGTATCGGAATAGTATCGGTATCGGCTGATATCCAAATTCAGGTATCGGGATCGGAAGTGAAAAAATGAGGATCGGTGCATCCCTATATAATACCTTTTCAAGCTTAAAGAAAGAGGCAACAGTAGCATACACTGCAGTGGACAGCTGCAGGTTCCCAGCAGGAGTGCTCCCAACAAGAGGCTGGCTGTTCCACTTTCTGTAGAAGTCACAATGCAGGCACCGTTGTTCTACAGAGAGAAACGTGTCCAATTTTCTTGTCCGCACATCACATTCACGCTGACACACAGGGCACACCTGAAACAGCTCCATTAGGCAGTTCTCATACACAATGTAAGTTGGAGTCTTATGGACAGGGGTAGAAGATTCCATTCTGCAATCAACACAAAACATTGACAGAAAATGAGTCAAAGACCGTCCTAGTAGAGCTACAATAAGTAGAGGAATGTAACACAAATTATTAGTAAAATGTTTAGGTAACTCACGTCACATCTGCTGACTCGGTCAAGGTTGTGGCAGAGTCTGCAGGGTCATATGTTGAATCATGTAGCTCCTCGACGTCAACAGAACTGCCTCCTAAAGGGTTCTCCTCTTCCTCCTCCTCCAGTTCTATGCAACGTCTCTTACTTGGTCTCTTTACAGGTGTTGATGTAAGAAATGGCAGAAGAGCTGAGGTGCCAACATCAGTGCAGGAAACAGTTTTCTGTGTGCCTTAAAAACAGAGATGATGTTATTGTTTATGCAAAATTCTAAAATGATAAGCAATCATATTGTTACTCATTAACAGTACACAAACAGAAGAAATCACATCAACAAATGAAGTAATTTTTGGTCAACTAACCTATACTTTTGAAATGAGGTTGGCGAGTCTTCATTGAAAGCTGTGTTCCAAATGAGCGTGTTGTTGGTGGGTCCGTCTGGCATGCCACATGATGTACCCTATTCAGCAGTCCAGATGTGCTTGCCTAAACACAAAGAGCAGTGAAATGTATACTCAAAAAATACAGTAAAAGCAAATAACTGTCTCTAGATTGATCTATTTGTTTCTTGTGATTTTATCCGCAGATTAACAATGACTGTCAGCTGCTAGCTAATCAGCTTTTCACACTGAACAATAACGTCCTGTTATTGTGCCCAGCTAGGTCAGTTTAAAACAGACACTGTACTGAAGCGTTTTAATTTCATTTCCTCTCGAAATCAAAACAAAGTTACTCGCCACTCAACTTTTTCTCTCTCCAAAGTGCGCTGTGCGACAGTAATCATCAACCGTGATAAACACAGTGCGCCGCATATGACGTTAGTTCTAGCCTCGATGCAGGCTCTTAGTAGTCGAGGAATACGTGGAATTGTCTCTGTCTTACTGGAGATGTCACATTATAGTACCCGCTATTCTGAATTAGCTCGGACCTTGTTGATATTCAGGTTTTTGTGTCGGGGGCGGGTGTCGATACACATCCTTAGTACCGACCGCGCTACATCGTAACGTAACATAGTTACTTAACTATCTTCCCTGTCTAACATGTCTAGTGCAGCTCAACAAGTGGAACAGCTGGTGAGGCATACCGCTGAAATTACTTTTTGCATCGCTACAGTTTGTTCGATCGGAGGTTACGTCTCTGTTTATTCTAGCAGTGACACACACAAACATAGTAACAGTTACTTACTGAAAAGCATACATGTTTACCAAAATACAGACAAAAATAAAGCTAGTTGTGGCTTAAACCACGAAACTCACAACAGTAACTTCAAGTCCCCCCCTGCACAAAGCTAATGGCGGCCGCTGGGGGCCGTAAATCTCTATAAAGAAATCGCAGCAGGGAAAAATATGGAAACATCTGCACCAGCTGGCTTAAATTAACCTCACCATATAAGTTTCATGTTCATCTTGCACACATTGTCAAACAATAACTACGTTAGCATCACTGCGGCTCCAGCAGCTCAAAGCTGTTAGCATTAGCTAACGTTACACCAACAATGAAAAACAAAGCATCAATTCTTAATAATACTTACAGTTTGTGTCTGTCGTCTTGCAACGGACAGTTGGTCCGGCTCCCTCTATCGGCAACAGTCTTTTGGCCAATCCTGTACTGTACTGACCGAGGTTCTTAAAACAGTCACTGGCGAAGTGGTTCGCACGCACCAACAGCTTTTTGCCTACTCTAGCCGGGACATTTCCATTGTAAATAAAATGAATCCACTGGACTCGTATCTCTTCTGAGACGGGGGTAGCGTGTAGAGCTTTGTGCTGTTCTGTGCAGCCCAGCACAGAACAGTTGTGTTGCTTTTCCTGATGCATGTCTGCTCGCTCAATGGGACAATGGCGGAGCACAGATAGACAAGGCGGAGTAAGCTGAGGTGGGTGGCAACATGCAGGTGAAAGGTTGGAATATGATAATGAGCTAGAGCAGATGATGTCAAAAACTACCGACTTCTGAAAGTTCGTGATTGATCTCCTGTATTGTGACTGAGGCAGCCCACAAAACATGACTGAGTCATTTTTTTTTCACACTTTGCCTGCTGATAGGCCCTCCAGAGTCCCATAGGTACATAATCAAATGATTAAAAACTTGTTTTTGCATAATATGTCCCCTTTAACGATTAATTAATCAGAGAACTAATCCGCAACAACTTTGATATCAGATCATTTATTCATACAAGACTACTCAACATTCAACACTCAACTCAACTAGTTCCAGCTTCATAATTGTGAAAATGTGCTGTATGTCTTTGCCTTATGTGATATATAACTAAGTATCTTTGGGTTTCAGACAAAACAAGCAATTTGTGAATTTTTTTTGTGAAATTTGGTATTTTTCATTATTTTTCTGACCAAAAAGAGTTCTTTAGGTAAAACACAACTGTCCATTAGAGACTATGCTATGTCCATATACTTTAACAAGGTATAAGGCACTAAAGACTTCTTTTCATTTCATATTTTTCATTTACATTTATTTCACATTATTTGTAAACAGAATCTTTTCTGAGGGAGTAAAAGAGCAGGTATAATCACAGCCTAATTGAGCGGTTTTGTACTTTGAAAGATCTTAAGAGAAGACACAGTAATGTGGGAAAGCTGATGCCACGAGACCACAGCAATAGCAGGGACGTATGCATTGTACCAAACACATTTGCTGCGGTTTAATATATAGCAGTTCTGTCCCTTGACTTGTCTTTCCTCAATGACTGAGAAGGCCAATGATGGAAACAAAACCATTCTTCGATTCATGAGGTCCTCTCTATACTATACTGTATATATTTAAAGAAAAGCAAATTACTGACAGTGCTTTAATTCTGAAGCAATGAAGCAGGTATTTGTTCCCAAGAGAGGTTCAGGATGGTATATACTTAAAAAACATGCAAATGAGCTATGTGTTTGCTTGTGCCATGCTCTAGTACCAGCTGGTAATTACTGTATACAAGGTGATTAGCATACATATTTTCCACACCTGTGTCGCAAATGAAATATCTAGGAAAGACATGTATTCACATATATCTGGAAGCACATGCTCACCCTTGCGCACGCACACACACACACAAACCACTGTTCAGGACAGGATCGGAGCTATTCACCACCATCTGCTGTGCAATCCACATGTCAAATCGACTATATTGATGACACTTAACAGCTACAACTGCCTTGCAAGGAAAAAAAAATTTAATTTCTCCAGCGAACATTTGCTCATATGTCTTTTCAACAAGCTAACGTGGATGTCATTGGATGCTAAGAATGTCAGACGTTGTCAGAGAAAGTGACAGTTCCATCAACACTTTTCATACGTGGGATTAGATTGTCAACATCGCCTTGATATCATAGTTTGCTTTGATCAAGGTGAGGTATTCAAAGTTTACTTTTTCACACAAGATGATGACAAGGTGGAAAATAAGAGTGTGTTGAACATTAAAATGACTTAAAGGGGAACTTCGGCAGATTTTTACCCGAGTCTTGATCGCTAGATGTCACCAAGTACGGTTGATAGGAAAAACAACGACCAACTGGAGTTCCTGCAGCTAATTAGCCTGTCAATTGCAATTAATGACATTCTCAGTGCTATTTCTGTTACGCTCTGCATTGCCACTGACATAAGACACCTCCAGCTGGAATGGATGGACTATTGTTCCCTTACTATGTGCATGTCATCACCACTTTTCTTTTTCATTCCCAAGTTCATACATTGTCAGCTGTACAAGAGCAATGCTACAATTTTGACAATATGATAATTAGATCGAGTTGGAGCATGTAGAGTTGTAGTTCAGGTTAGGTCCGGTCCAATCACATTGTACAGTCTATTAACTTGGGAACATAAAATAATGTGTCAACACCTTGTCATTGCCCTCTGAAGACACTGGGGAGTCTTCCTATTTAATAACCAGAGAAGAAGAACAGAAAATTGAAATACACTCACCTTAGCGTTACCCAATGTGGCAATGACATGATAGGAATCAAATGTAAAAAAAAGTGTCCATAATTGGACAGCGAAATATTGTGAACTGGCATTTTCTTTCACCCAAGAAACTGCTAGTTCATAATATTTAAAACGGTTGACAAAAATATATCATTATCTTTGAAATGAAACACTAACATTTCAGTGGAGAAGGCCAATTTTAACTTACTGACCAAAATCAGACAGGAAAAGCTAACAGAGCGAGTGCTGGATTATTCATGATTTCACAGTTGCTTTGCCCTTTATCAGTGGACAGTGCCACAGCCAGATATCCATCTTTCCAGGAAAACTAAATATGGAAGGTAGTGTAAATGATACCTGTGCTGTAGGGGCAGAGAAAATGTCAAAACAATTATGGATATTAAGGATGAGCGGCGACCGGGCTTGGGCTGAATGTCAGATAATGAACCTGCGGGTTTAAGACACTGGTGTCCTTTGCAGCTGCTAGACAAGGATATTGTTTTGGTTATAAAATAAACAGGTACATGGATCTAAAACCACAATGATAATTAATAAGTGCCTCATTTTCAGTTACACTGAGTGCAATTAATGAGTGTAAATGGAAAGACTGAATTCTTGCTATAAAGCTAGTCTAATGCGTAAGGGGAGTGAATCAGAGGCCGACATTCATTTCATCTTACACTTTAAAAACAGTGTTGCCCAACATGGGTCAGATAATACATTTGAAGGGTTTGAAAGATTCTTATGTTTGCGTTTTTGTTTTATTTTGTGCCATGTTTCCATCAACATGAATTGATGTGCATTTTGATGGAAAGGGCAAAGATTTACAGAAATGTAAGAATTGAAAATAAGAGTTCATGCACTTAATGAGAGATGGAAGCACTTTCTGAATAAGCTCTGACACAGCCAGTTTGAATGAGTCTGATGCAGATATTTTTAGACTTAAAGCTGCAGCCAGAGCCTATAGGCTCAAGTTCACATCGTAAGATAATCGTATAATATTGTAAGCACTGGCAGCACGGATATAAAGTCAAATAAATTTTCTAAAATGTTAAAATTCACTTAAGATTCTAGAGAAAATATTCAATTGAACAAATACTGTTTGTTTTTACCTCATTCTGTTCTGTATAGGTCTACTAATTCTTAGACCAACAGATGGCACAACCCTTTTAAAAAGCAGGGAGGGTTGTAGTGGGAACACTGGTGTGACTGTGTGGCAACAGACAATAGTTTACATGGTTTACAGTCAGGAAGAAGGGCCCCCCAGCAGAATTTTGCTTAGGGCCCCACAGAGGTTAGGACCGGCTCTGGTTACAACACAACCTCAATTACGTATTTGTTTCTAAAATATATATATATATTTTTTTTTTAAATACACACACGCACACAATGGCACAAATACATGTAAACAACTCTCTCATGCAGGAACACTCATGCAGACTGTGGGTGTGTAGCTCTCGGTTTCTGACAGGTACTCTATGATGTAGAGATGAGGAACAGCATCTCTAACGACATCAGTGAGGGAGCATATTGATATTCATGTTTGCCTGATCTCAGGGACACATAAGAGAAGGCTGCTTGCTATTGATTGTATGATGAGCGCCACACTGCCTTACTGGTGAAAACCCCCCAAAAATAAATAACTCGTAAGCAAAAGAAAAAAATACAACTCATAGGCAAAAAGCCGAAATGTTGTACTTATTTTTTGATCATTGCTGTAATGTATTCACTCACATTCACATGCTCAAGTGCCATGTCTTTCCTGCTCTGCTTGACTAACATTTCTGAGAAGTGGTTGCTTTTATTACCATATTAGTCAACATTATGATGAAAGAGAGTGTGCATATCGCAGAATGTGTGAGCCTTCTTCGCTACAGACCGCCTGCTGCAATCTCATCGTAATACAGGAAATGCATGCTGCCTCACACCCCGATAAAGCACACTCACACACACACACACACACACACACACACACACACAGAGGCATCTGCCCAAGCACCTGTAGAGGTCTTTAAGCTTTGCCAGCTGCCCAGCCAGCCCAAGCTCACAGTGCCAGTGCCTGTCATAATCTACAATGGCCGCCTTGCAGAGACACATTTAAAGCGTGTGTGTGTGTGTGTGTGTGTGTGTGTGTGTGTGTGTGTGTGTGTGTGTGTGTGTGTGTGTGTGTGTGTGTGTGGTTGTACGTACGTGTGTACGTACATACATACATACATACATTCAGGACCAGTTTCATTAGAATAGTTTCCTACTTGTGCTTTGGAAAACCCTGTTCATTATGCAGCCCTCCTTTGAGGTAGAGAGTAATTACATTTTCTTTAAAAACCAGGGATTTAATCTTGCTTCCCCTATAGAAGCTAGGAGTAAACACTTAATCTAAGAGGCTTTGGTGAAAAAAAAAAAAAAAAAAAAATAAAGAATTATTCCCATAACTCTTCTTTGAAAGGGAGTCTCGCTAACGCCACCCTTGCTTTTGCTCCGTTATCACAAAAAGGCACACAGAGTATGGGTGGGTGGGGGGGGATCATGTTCGTATTCTCTATCTTTTACTGCCACTTCTACTCACCTCACCCCACACCTTACTATCTATACCTCTTTATTATTCCTTGTTCTGTCCTCCTCTCATTCCAGTCCAGAAACTTTTCTCATCTGTCTGAGCCCCTCCTCCTATTGTTCCTGCTGTTTCTCTGTCACT